TTATGCTAACCGATTCAGCTCATCTTGATTAAATAAAGGTGAATGAGTTTTTCTTATTTAACCCTTGATCCTTCTAGTCAGTATTCCCCATCAATGATTTTATTAAATTTCCAACCAAATCATTGAAAAATTGTGCTCAAGTGATTCTGTATAGATTTGAATAGCTATACCATATGAGGCACGGTTATGAATAATGATTAGAATATTAGACTACTGAATCAAGGGTTATATAAAAGAAAAACTCGCACACCTTTTCTTAATCAACTAGGTAGAAATCAACAAGTTTCTGACTATTATTATGAAATGAAAATGATTCATAACTTACCTCCATTTGTTCCAAGAGAAGCTGGGTGGACATGATATGGCAGCGTCGCTGCAACCTAGGTGGCCCTATCAAGGTAGCCCACAGGCTGCCACAACTAAACTACACGAGAACCCAACCCGAAAACGTGAAAATTTTGCTCCATGTGAACTACCTCCAAAAACCTAGGTTGTACACCATATCTAACCATGTTGTCCGTAGCTGAAGACGAGCTACTATACTTGGAACCTGAAAAATAAGACATAATGATAATAATAAAGCAAGGGCAAGTAGTGGTGCATAAAATTGATTCCAGTGAGGGAATTGGTCTGTTGGGAGGGGCATCTTGCTGTATCAAAGGTTACACATCAACAGGCAGACTCGAACACGCTTGATAATGACCATTTTCAAGAAAGAATTATACACGTACGATTGATTTGCGTGTACAGTGCCTAATTTTATACCCCTATAAACTACATCTATAATATACTAACCTCAACAGGGATGGTATCCCAACCATGGTGTATTAACTCAATAGTAAAAACCGCTAGTGAGCACCCTGACCTGAAACGAAAACAAAATATCAACATTAAAATGATAATCGATGTGTGTTAAGAATTATCCGAGGGTGGGGGGGGGGACTCATGGTCCTTTTTTAACATGTATATTACTAATTTGAGAAAGGAGCCAAAGTCGGGCTGGCCTTAGTTCTGGCCTTTTTTCGAATGCCACAGAATTCCGTCTTTTCCATTCATAATCTTTATTTCGAGTCCTCATTCCCAGCCAAGCTCTGCCTCATAGTTTTGTAACACAACAAAAATTTGCAACAATGGATTTTTGTTTTTACAACTAGTCTTACTCGCAACATAAATATTTTCTTTCTTAAGACAAATTAGGAAAGTGGGGCATTGATTGAAATAGAATCGAACAAAATACTTCAAAAATTTTAGAGTTTCAAAAAGACGACTTACCGGTTGCTATAAACCATGCAAACTGACTG